CCCAAGACGGTCATTCTCCTGCTGCGCTGCTGTGTGCTGTGAAGGGAGAGACAATGCTCGTTTTGTCCTCGAATTGCAGTGCACGACTACAGCTCCGCAGCAAGACAACAGCCTTTGTGGAGAGCCTGGCAATGGTAGGGGGAATAGCTCTACAGCAGACAATATCTTTTGTGAACAGTTATTTATAGCATGATAGCTAAACGGTATTTAAGTAGCCTAGTTCTCGCTGTAATACCCCAGTCTCGAACTAAAGTTTATACCCCACCATCTTATCTCGAACTCAACTAATTCATTGGGTCTTGAACCACACAACACTCTTGTCACATAAGTGAACTCAGTCGGACATATCTGAAGTGCGAGGTACTGAACTGTTTATCACGTGATGATTGTCACATGGGATTTGAGTCTAACAATTAGTTTGAGACTTTCGCTTCCCTTTCTCAAGCCCAACTGTGCTGAGAAACTGAATGCCCATCACACTTAATCCCTCCAACCCAAACTTCACTCACGAGTTTTTTAAACTCTTCATTGCTATTATCGGAATTCTAGTCGGTCTACTGGTGCTCGTACAGCTTTGCCGCGGACATCATTCGATTATCGCCTGGTCTATCCGTCACTATCATGAATTTCAATGTATTCGCCGAATTCTACGAAATGCTACACCGGATCTTCCTCTTCATAACATCCCTTCTTCCACTCGACCTTCGATGTCCCGACAGCCCGACCAGCCAGAGGGAGTCGACTCCGAAGACGTCTCTGGGAGAACGTCTTCGGAACGCCCGATGGAAGAAGAAGAGGAACAACCCCGTCAGCATGCATACCCCCCACGACCACCCCCAGCGGTCATTCGGGACCCTGGAAACCCATGGGCAACAGGGTTCCGACGACCTAGGTCCAATGTCACCGTCCCATCCCCCCAGCACAGTACCCGAGCACCAAGGACAACAACCTCAGTCTCTGGCACCAGCATCGGGCACCGTGCCAGAGACTCCCTGGACAGCTCACAGATGGCTCATGGGACCAGTACTAGGACACGGGGATCCCATCATACAGCGTCAGTATGAGAGAACAGCACTGACAACAGGACAAAGGCTAGAAACGACCTCAGCAGGCAGCATGACTGGTGGCATGCCGCCATTCAAATCCATGTCGACAATGAGATCTACAGGGAGAATGACCTCTTCGGGAGGTATCTCCGAGCACGAGAGGAAGAGCAGCAAAGGAGAGAGGCTGGAAGTACCGACAGCGGCACCTTGGTCAACACCAGCACTCTCGACTCCCCATTCCAACAGCCCACCCCTTCCTCCACCAAGTCTGACCCATGGGTGGGACCCGCTGACAGAGTCATCTATAGCGACAATGTCCCCAGACAAGAAGAGCTCGATGCCGACGAGCTCGATGACGGCTGCCCACTATCATATGGAACGGATACTATCGCAGACACCGACAGCATCCCATATCAAGGAAACGGAATATCGGCGGATCGGGGATCGATTGAAGGGGACAGCCAGCACATCGACTCCACAGGAGACCTTAAACGGTTTCTTGATGGACCAGTGGCCGCCCTCTTCCTTCAACCCCGATTTTACAGGAATTTCCGTCGATATAGCTGAGCAGTGGCGACAAACACAGTAGGGAAACAGGCCGAGCATGAGCAACAGCAGCCTGGGCGGGAGCCTTCTCCTCACCCCAGCCCAGAGGACGCTGGACCAAGTACCGAACCCCAGACCCGCCAAACCGACAACTTACGACCTAGCTGAAATTTCCCTCCTCGGAGGGGAAATATGGGACCAGGACGGCGAAGCGGACGACGGGGAGGAGGGTTCAATAGGGGAGGTCGGGGACCTTCCCTTTGAATCCAAAGAAAATAAAGAAGGACAGGAAGAGGGGGAGGTTTCACGACATGCGGCCCTGAGACAGGCCAATTTTAATATTAATCAACAAATTTTGCATTACCAGATGAAGCCGACACAGCCAAACAATGGCAGACAAACGACAACCAAGCCGTGGAAACCGAACATACAACCCGTGGAATCGGCATCCACGACAATGACAGCACCACCTCGGCATTTGCATAACACCTCCACCTTCCCTGGAACAGCATCTCGGCCGGACACGAATCGACCACAGGCAACTCAGCAATACCAACGGCAAAGGAAGCTGCCAATAGTGCCACAATCACCTGCCGAGCAGCCGCCACCATACAGTAGCATCATCCCAAGAAGGGAACAACCGACCGATGGCGGGATCCCGATCCCGACAATTACCATTCCCGACATCTACAGACAACAGATGAAGGAACACAAGCTGGCGGGAAAGACAACTACCGACTACTTCACGACATTAGAACAACTCGGTACACTCGCTGGCATACAGGACGACACCACTGACACAGGATACATGGTCGAATGTATCAAGATGGGACTACCACCCATCTTCCTAACGATAATCAAAGAACAGCATATCCTGATAGGGTACGACGAATGGAAAGGCCGCACCATCAAGATATACAAACAACGACAACAACAACGGGCTGAGACAATTGCCCTGGCATATGGCCATGGGGCTCAGGAACCAGGGGTTCCGATCCCCAAGACGACGAAGAATCATCACACCCGGAACGGTATCCGGATGGATATTACTGAACAGTACTGGCCGAGCCCAGAAACTCGGCCACAGACTAAATGAACGAACTGATATTTTTTCTCTTCTATAGTAACTACTACATTTGCTTTAGGCATATTTTAATCGACGTATTTATCACGACCTAATACTGGACGCACAGTAAACCGCTCTTCGAACAAGACGAACATTGTTGGAACCGACAGGACACAAAGGGGAGATATCAGCAACCCCTCAGGGCCGACAACCGATCTCTATATCAGAAATCATAATCGGCAAAGAACCGAGAACAACGGAGGAACTATAATTTCATGAATTAATTAACTCCCAAAGGGCGGATCATTCATCGGCATGATCTGCCAGACAACACACATCGAAACGAGGAAATTGCCCAAAGGACCAGGGAATTTCTGGACAGTGCAGAACAGGGTTCTGACTATATCATAGAAAACGAATCCAATAGAGTGTCACTACAATGACACTCCAAACACAATACCGACAAAAAACTCCTCACCATAATATCGAACTTCTCTAGCAATGATATTATCTCATTGGAGTGGCGCTGGCGACTGGAGAAACGGAACGTATCTAAAAAGGATCCAACATACCGGATCAAACCAGAACCCCATCACTTAATCAGTGACAGGAACCTAACGACAAAAACACACCCCTCGCTATAATAATAATACCCATTGGGTAACAACATTATTTCATTGGGGGAATCTAGGGAAGGGGAGCCATTTATGAAGGATGGAATTTGACCCCTATATATCCAACAGACTGGATCAAAGGGGTGGCCCCGACTTCATTAACACTGATGGGTGGACCATTCATCATCATTGTTGACTGCTTCATGAAAACGGTGGCTACAACAGATGCACATGTCATCAGTCAATCATTTCCTGATGGCAATCAACAAAGATGAGACACAAACTTCCCATACATGGCACCATTATTACCATCATTCATCGCTTCTCGAAGAAGATCATTGTGATCAAGGGCCCCAAAGATTTGACATCCGAGGATGGGCAAAGAAACACTACAAGAGGAGATTTATGCCAAGAGTGGCATATCTCAAGTAGTGATGGAAGGGCAGAGTCAATATAATCAACAACAAGGGGTCGATGAAGATGATACGATGGGACATACAACGAGAAGCAATGTGCCTCAACTACACGATGAGTCCACAGGCAGTCTGCGACACATCAAAAGTCATGATATAACAGAAGACACAGACCGCTCAACCAACCCAACAAAGAAAACACCACTCTCACAGTTCGAGATCCTGCAAGAGGACACTAAACACTACACCGGTCAATGTCTTTATGAATCTGCAAGCCGACAAATGGGTCCAGCAGATCGGCCACCTCCTGCCTGGGGCGGGGAACTGACCTAACTTAACCATCGGGACGATGGTCTTAAGGAGGGGGTGATGTTATGATTTTTCCCTTTACTTCCCATTTTTATTTCTTTCTTTCTTGAAAGTGACCCCTATCTGCACACGTGACCGTGAGAATGCCCACACAGCAACCCAAGACGGTCATTCTCCTGCTGCGCTGCTGTGTGCTGTGAAGGGAGAGACAATGCTCGTTTTGTCCTCGAATTGCAGTGCACGACTACAGCTCTGCAGCAAGACAACAGCCTTTGTGGAGAGCCTGGCAACGGTAGGGGGAATAGCTCTACAGCAGACAATATCTTTTGTGAATAGTTATTTATAGCGTGATAGCTAAACGGTATTTAAGTAGCCTAGTTCTCGCTGTAATACCCCAGTCTCGAACTAAAGTTTATACCCCACTATCTTATCTCGAACTCAACTAATTCGTTGGGTCTTGAACCACACAACACTCTTGTCACATAAGTGAACTCAATCGGACATACCCGAAGTGCGAGGTACCGAACTGTTTATCACATGATGATTGTCACATGGGATTTGAGTCTAACAAGTATTGGAACCCTGTCTCTTCCATAGGGCCTCTGACAATATTGATCAGTTCCTAGTCGATTGTGACCAATACTTTCAAGTATTTGCATCATATTTTCTAGCTGATATATACAAAGTAACATTTGTAGTGACCCACATGGCCAACAAAGCAAAGACTTGGTGGGTCCTGATCTCTCCAATGTTCTGGTCCACCACAAGAACCTATTATTGATATCCCTTGTAGCCAGTATTCAAACAAATGATCATCAATAAATTCATAGATCTGGTCATCCAAAAAGTCCACAAACAGAAGATGAAGGAGTTCAAGATAGTTGGCAAGCCCACAACCAAATACTTTGATGAACTAGAATGACTCAGCAGACTTGCCAGAGTATGGGATGACATTGCAGATTTGGGATGGATGGTTGAGTACATGAAGATGGGAGTACCATCCTCCTATCTTATCATTATCTCAGACATTGGGCAGGGGATCCCTATCAGATATGATGAATGGAAGGCCAGAATCATCACTATATACAAGGAACAACAATGACAGAAGGCAGAAGTGACAACCTTATCATGGAGAGCACACAGGAACCAAAGGCAAGGCTCAAAACCTTCTGCCCCTACTATGATCATGTCTGCCAAGCCTGGAGGCTCAACTCCAACTTCTTTCAGCAAGAAGCGAATCAGTACAGGCATGACATTTACTGGAATGGGTCAGCCAATGGACATAGACTGTCTCAAGAAAGGGGGAAAATGTTTCAATTGTGATCAAAAGGGTCATATGGCATGAAACTGCCCTCAGAAGAAGAATAAATACACCTGGGAGGACATTTGAGCACAGATTGCCAAATTGATGAGGGAGGATCAAGACCTTGGGCCTGAATATAAGCCTGAGGAGGTAAAAGATGAGGCCGAGCAGTGAGCAATTCCACTGACTTGGCCCCAATACTAACAAGTGAACTGTCACCTTCAGCCATAGAACAGACTGACAATATTTCTGTAGTTCCACCACCTATGCCTAAATTATATGTGCATTCGAATATACCTGACAGTACCACTTTTATTTTGGCATTGCCCAAAGAACTGAAATAAGACACTCAAGTACTGACAAATAGCCAAAGAAGGACAGAGGGTCCTAAAATAGGTGAGTCTTTACCCAAAGCTTGTAAAGCTAATACTTTAAAAGGCACTCAATTGCCAATGGGCTGAACAGGGGTAAAGAACTCCATCAGTTAGCTAAAGCCATTTGAGACCAAATGGATTTGGTGGGCCATCAAGGACACAAAGAATGAAAAAGCAGCAAAGGCTGTACTCAAGAATTAGGTACACAGGGTCTGAGCCAAAGAAATAGTCAATGACATGGTCACTGGGATGCAAACTGCAGAACAACATCAAGCTCTAGAATGGCTTGATGAGCTACATGGACTAAGAAAGTTCATCTGATGAGCCAAAGATCCAGGTCAAAACCTAGTAACCAAGGCCTGAATCAAGACACTTATCTCCCAAAGTACTCATACTGTCATGGTCCTGATCGACAGTGGATATACTGGGAGTTCTATCAATTGTGCCTTCATCAATAAAAACAAACTCCCTACCTGAGCAACTGTGGCTCCAATCCCAGTATATAATGCTGATGGAATAAAGAATCAAGCTGGATCTATAACCGAATATGTGGAACTCAGGCTCACCATCAGGGATCATTCTGAACAAATTGATTTAGCAGTAACTGATCTAGGAACCAAGGAGGTTTTCCTTGATCATGATTGGCTAATATGATACAACCCACTGATTAATTGGAAAATCAGACACATCACATTTGCATGATGTCGATGCTGGAAGATTCCTTTTGAATTGCCAGATGCAGATTCTGAAGATCAGTGGGATGAGAAAATGGAGGATGGCAAGATGATCCTCACCATTGACTTGCAAAGGGCCATTAGCATTCAAGCAATACACCATGCTAATGACCTGGTGGCAAAGGCTAATGCCAGCAAGGAGGAGAAAACATTTAAGGAACTGGTATCAGAATGGGCATAGGATTATTGAGATCTATTCGAAAAAGAA